TTCGAAACACAACTTAAGAAGATATTAGTAATTCCAAGAATCACCAATCCCTCTAAGGCCCACTTTTCACGTTTAGCATCTTCTCTACAAGATATTTCCCTTTCATAAATAAAAAAGGCAAAAGTCATCACCTACTTCCAGCCAACACAGCCCTGAAAACAAAATCCAAGGAGTTAATGACTGCATAAATCATCAACCCTTCAATTTCAGTTTTAGTAAAACTCAAGAAGATATTACTAATTCCACGAGTCACCAACCCCTCTAACACCCACTTTTCACCTCCAGCATTTTCTCTACAAGATATTTCCCTTTCACAAATAAAAAAGGCAAAAGTCATCACCTACTTCCAGCCACCATAATCCTGAAAACAAAATCCAAGAAGATAATAACTGTATAAATCCTCAACCCTTCAATCTCAGTTTTGCTACCATTCGTCTCCACACCCCTCTGTCATCGAATTTTCCGACACCAACACCTTCACACAGCTGATGATACACTATCGTTCTTTCCCCGAGCGACCCACCCACATTCGAGTAGCTGTCGATCCATCGACAGTTGACTTATCAGCGCCCCGGTTGCTTGCCTAGCGTAACTCAAAAATCAAAGTGGCCAATGACGGGCGCCTCCTACGTTATTACCTTCCCTCCTGGACCCCTTCGGGCCCCACCACGCCCCGCTTCCCCTCCCAACAACCCCTTCTATGGCACAGGGGAGCCCACGTCGACGAGTTGTACCGTTCGACAATATAACATGGCACATATATCGCTGGGGGAACAATTTGGATCATAGTACTTACCGCACACATATATTGCCGGCTCGTCGCGCGGTGCTCATTTTTCACGGACTGTCGATCTTCCTGGTAACTGAAGCGTGCCCGGCGTGGTACCCCTGCCAGCCCCCCTCGTATCGTCGTCGAGGAATCAAGAGCGCGTCAGTTAGTCCGCGGTCGCTCGCTGTTCAGTCGGTTCCAACGCCAGGCTATCCGTCATTTGCGTTTCTCGAACGAGTCTGGTGCAACCATTTCGGGATCTCTGGATCGATCGCTGCTGTTTGGAGTGATTCACGAGGCCCCGATATTGCCGGGGAGGGTTTGCAGGAGTGACTGGTTCCGGAGTCTGCATCGAGTCGTGAGTTGTGTTTGTTGACGTATTGGGGAGGTATTTCTGGTATTGGGGTCGTTTGGACACTCGAGTCTTCGAGTTGCTAGTCTGAGGTATTTTAGGTGTTGATATAGGCTTGGAGTGGTATTGCTAGAAGCTGCTAGGTCTTTAAGTGAGACTCTTTGGGGTTGGAGTGACGTAGAGTCTTGGTTCTACGAGTTGGAGTTGGTTTCAGTAGGTTTCTAATGGCGAGAGGAGCTTGGAACCTTAGGATTCGAAGCTATTGATTTTTCAAAATGGTGAATTTTATGTTGGGGTGACCTAGAGCCCTGACTCCTCGAGCTGGTCTTGGTTTAAGTAGACCTGTGATGATCGAAGCTTTGGTTCTCGAGGCTTCCGTTCGTTTGAGATACTTCTGCTGATAGGTGAACGAAATTTTCGAGAAACAAGGGCTCAGGATACCCTAGGAACCTGTTTCCGGTGTTGGCTCAACCTTAGAACATTGTCGTTGTAAAGTAATAGTTCTTTGAAATAGTTTTTCTTGTATTGAGGTTACCTAGAGCCTCGTGTCTTGCAGCCATTGTTCGCCTGAGTGAGTTTTGGTGATGGCAAAACCTTGAGACGTGACTGTTCTAAGCTGGTAGTTCTTCAAATTAGTTTTTCTAGTGTTGGGGCGATCTGGAGACTTGGTTCATAAAGCACTTTGTCCGAGTGACTCCTGAAGATAGTTTTAACTCTGCAAGTAGCATGTAGCATGCAATTCTATCGTTCAAAGTACGTTTTGAAATGCTTTGATGGTTTGACTAACGAAGGTATTCCTAGTTTGTATTAACTTGTCTGAAGTTGGTATAGCCTACAGTCTCGTTCCTCAAGATGTCTGACCCTTCAAGTACCTTTTAATCTTAATGGAGACCTAAAACCTTGTCCACCAAACGTGTTTCTCCCTAGAACCCCTGTTCTCAGAATTTCCCAGCCCCCAAAATCTTGTCTCTCAAAGTTACTACTTGCCCAAGTAATTCCTCACCCACCACCTTCCATCCTATCATCTGAGAATCTTCCCTTGCGCGTCAGACTTTATCAACCCCTAATACCAGCGTTCTCCACTCTTCCATGTTTCCAGGAACACCTGGAGCAAGTTTGGAAGAAGTCATGCTACCACCAGCACCGAGAAGACCGACCCTCTGACAATCATCAAAGGATCGAGCTAGCCAGCGAGGCGGATGCGTTTAGCGCTGGTAAATCCTGACGGGTGCTCCGTGACCTGGAGAACACGTGAGCGCCGCGAGGATGTAATTGGAAGTCGCCGGTAATCAACAGAAACCCAGAGCCAACCGAAGAGAAGATGAGATCGAGAGTGAATCTAGTCGCCATTCTGCTGACCCTTAGCTGCGTTGTTCGCGTGCTGGAGTCTGCTAGGTCGGACGATAAGGGCCACAAGGGGTACTCCGTGGGGAAGAAGGTCTTCAAGGAAGCGCACAGCAAGATCGCGCCGCAGAGTGCGATCTTCCTGCGGGCAGAGGACAAAACGAAGCTCGTCAAGACCCAGACGAGGCACAATGTTCTTCCGCTCTCCAAGGACTACCTGGGCGGTCCAGGTAATGTGGAACGAAGCTCGAAAAAATGGCCAGTGATGGCTCCATCTGTGACTTTTTTCTTTTTATAGGAATTGGTTGCTCGATTTAGGTTCATAGGTACTTTAACTACTTTGTTTAACTGCACTCGAGTTCAGGGAATAGGATTATTAATTCTTACGATTGCAAGAACTTGAGGAACTTATCTAATTTAATTCAGACATATTCGAACAATATTCATAAACAAATATATTTATCCCGCACGTTGAACTTCATCTATTACACGCTAAAAATTAATTAAACCATTTCATCCCCGTAAAAACTATTCCTTATCTTGATCGCAATTGAGAATTCTCGGCAGTAATATTAGCAGATTCGTTTATTGATCGAGAAGAAACACAGAAACAGACAATAATCATTCTCTTCCCACTTGCTTGCAGACCGTCCCCGTCGAAGGAAACGAAAAATGGACCGCACGATGATGGCGCTGCTAATGGCGTACAAGATGAAGTTCTTCGCCCTGATTCCGACCATGCTCGGAGGGCTGATCCTCCTCAAGGCCACCGCCCTTCTCGCTGGATTCTTCTTCGCCTTGTTCGCCGCCGTCCTCGGCCTGAAGGTGCGCTGACGGAGCCTCGACGAACAACGGATCCAAAGTGAGGCTGACAAACCACTTTATTTCGTAAACGGTTCGCGCAACGAGTAACGTTCGCTTGGACGCAACGACAACTGAGATACGCGTCGAGTGACATTAAAAAATCAATTTTGCGCAAGAATGTAACATGGAAATGTAGCGATACAACGAACGACAAAACCACGAAGAATCATTAAATCGTTCTGTTCCCGTCTGTTCGATTCCTCTTTCATCCGATCGGTCTTCGTCCGAAATGAGCTACGCGTAGGGTAAATCCGTGACAATAAATACATGGCGTTCGACGATAAATATCTTGCGTTTCGAGCTTACGTGTCTAGGTTAATAAATATTGGAGTGAACGATGATCGAGAGACGGCCGCAAAAAATATTGAACTCGAATTTTCTCTAGCGACTACCTCTAGATCCGGTAGGTACACCTAGTCGATCCCCTTTTGCATGCCGTTGTCGATCTCGAGCGCAGAAAACGCTTCTTCGGGGTCCCGTTAGAAACTCGCGTGCCTGGACGTCGTTGTGACGCTATTATCGCGTCGAATCGCCGCTTCCTAGTTGACGAGGAATGAAAATGAGTGACAGCTCGGGTGTCTGCCGCGTCGCTCGCGTGGCGCAGCCATCCTATTAGCGGCGTTTACGCGTCCAATTATGGTTGTTCCCGTTTGACGCATTCCCGGACGTCTCTTTCGTTCATTGGGAAAGCAACATCAATCCTTGTTTATCTGTTCTTGATCTACATTCAAGATCTCTTAACATAAACAGAAACTGGACTCCGAGCGATCCTCTTTCATAATTCACCTAGTTGATTTCGTAACGATCGAGTTGTAATAGGAAACGTACTATGAACATTTGAGGTTGAACTTAACCTGGGTGCCTTTAATGAATTGTACATATTTTCGTCTACGTAATAAAGACGCTATTGTTACTATTAACATCATCATTATTATTATTAATTATGACAGAAAGACTCGAATTGCTGTTATTGGAAGACTTTGAGTTGAAAATTAAACTTCAACGTCAGTTTGGTTTTAACCCCCTGTTGCATCATCTATTAGGGTTTGCGATGCTTTCTTAAGAAAACATTCGAGCAACAGCTACCGAGTATTAATTCATGGACATGTAAATAACCAGGAAATAAGTTCTCTTTTGAAAGATAAAAAGCAACAAGGGGTTAACATCTGAAGAACTGAAAGTGTGCTTATGAGATCTGGAGAGATCAGTCCCAGGGGATGATAGTATCGAGCATTCTAGCTCATTTGCAGCCTCGAAGGAGACCGACCGCAACCTCAATTCCCTCTAATTTCCCTCTGAACTGATCTTTCTAGATCCCTCGGAGTAGCAATAGCGAAAATGACAAGGATCTCGCAAGAACGGACCTGGAAGAATTACTCGAACCGCTTCCTGCCTAATTTCAAAGATGGAGAAGTAACTTCACCGATTCGGGAAACCAGGTCCACTCTCCTGAGCTACCGCAATCAACGATGCTACTCCCTTACATAAATTTCCACGAGAAGCTTTCAGTAACCAACGAACAAAGAACTAGCCTACTTTCTGACGAACAAAATGGTACGATCACTCGGGGATAAGAGTCCAAGTGATCGAAGACTGGTCCGTGGAAGCCACAGACGGCGTTTGCAAACGGAACCCGAAGACCCTTCTGTCGCCTCTTCTGTACTCTCAACATCAATGAAGATGTCGCGCAGAGTAGGCCAAGCTGTGCGCGTAGTTTTGCGCCGCCTCCGTCGTGGTAGTCTCGGTGGATCCAAGGGCACCCTTCAGACTCCTGTCCCATCCACCGCCGCTTTGCTGCCAACCGCCATGGTCGTGACTCTGCTTCTGACTGAGGAGCTTCTTCAGCCCGATGATCAGCGACAGGACCAGAGCGATCTTGCTGATAATCAGGGCCTTTCCAGCGAGCAGGAACAGCACTCCCAATGCTAGAGGTATCAGCGCCGCCATCTTCATGGCCATCCCCATCATCATCATGCCCATCATTTTCTTCATTTTACCGCGGCCCTCCTCCATGCCTCTCTTCAGCTCGCCAGGGCTCGTTTTAGGCAGACGAATCTGCACGTTGAAGCTGTTCAACAGCGAGGCGACCCGATCCAGCAGGATCTCCGTCAGGATCTCGTCTTTACTGCCAGCGTTTCTCCCCAGACTAGCCTCCAAGTCGGCGGTGGAGCTCTTCGGCGCCTCGTCGGTGATTCTGATCAGCTCGAAATTCTCCGACAGCGGCAGAGTACGCATTCTGCCCAGCCTCTCGAAGAACGATATCGCCTTTTTCTTCAGACACGGCGAGACGGCCATGTTGCGGTGCTGGCACTCCTCGTAGACGCGGTACATCGCTCGGAACCCCCTGTCGACGATACCGTCGTCGTCCTTTGTCGTCGTGGACGCGTAGACGAACGCACTGCACGCCAACAAGACGAACACACACTTGGACAGATCCATTTTCGACGTTCCGACCGGGTGCACGGGTGGGTAATCCTCGACGGAGACGACTCGTGAGCGAACGTTTCGGATGAACCGGGCACTGGAACGGGAGACCTTCACCGAGACGAGATCAGCGCACTTTACGCGGGCTTGAGGATCCTCGACTAGAGAGAACTGGCGCCAGGACCAGGCGTCTGGGCTGATATATACCATCGAGTGGTCGTCCTTCGCGGAACGGGGGTGAGAGCTGTCTCCCACGTCAACAACCCAACCAACACCGCGGATGTGCCCGCGACTAAGCGACTCCCCGCGTCCCCCCCATCGCTGGTCCACGGAAGCATCCAAACAAACGTTCTCCGCGCTCCGTCCTTCTCTTGTTTTCTTCCTTCTCCGACGCTCGGGAGGCAACGTAGGATTCTCTCGCAGAGCATGTGACCCATCCTGACACAGAGACCCACTCAAGCTCAAGAAGGTAGAACGCCCGTGCTCGGTCGTTGAGTTTCGCTGACTTCGGTCGGGATTCGCCCGTCAGCTGCCGGGGGAGGGATGAGGGGAAGGCAACGATGCACCAGGAAGCATCCCATTGGCGCGCCTGGCACCGTGACCCCTGTCGACCTTTCGGCTAGCGTCGTGACGCTTGGAAGTAGTTTTAGGTCGCGGACTGTCCGCGGCCTTACTCTCGCGCGTCTTCAGCCTCAAACCTCTCCGCAGGACGAGTTATTGCGATCTAGATTTGGTCGAGGGAAAATCGATCCCAGGTTCGATCGATGGCTGCGGTGGGATCACGTTTTACTGAATGTGTCGTAAACTTTAATCGAATTTCGAATTTGACTTGAGTGGAAATTCGATTTAATTTGAATGGAATAGTGATTGCGCTTGAATTGAGTCTTAACTGCATTCAAATTGAATTGAAAATGGCTGCGGTGGGATCATGGTTTACTGAATGTGTCGTAAACTTTAATTGAATTTCGAATTCTACTTGAGTGAATATCGAATTGAATTTTAATGGAATAGCGATTACGCTTGAATTGAGTTTTGATTTCAGTGGAATTGAATTTGAATTATGAGCTCGAATTGCATTAAAATTAATTCAAATAAAATACGAGTGGATTTGTACTTAATGGCATTTTTTTGATTAAAGATTGCTAGCATACTAAGAGGACGTCCACTATTTTCATTGAAATTTAAGAAACTGCAAGCTTTTTATTTTCTCCTTATCGCTACATTTAGAGAACCATTGTGTGGAGTGAAACTGAGTTGCTGCGTAAAAATATGAGAGTACAGAAAAAAGCGTAGTGAACACGTTAAAACTATCCAAGGTAAGTATGTCAGCGGTTGACAATTTAGTTCTTACGGGGTGATCGCATCAAATTCATAGTACCAGGTGGCTGATGTTCTTTTATGATCTCACAAAGATAAAATTTATGTATGCTACGTAATTACATCGTGTCTTCTACGAAAAGTACTAACATTTGGCCCTCTTTACAATCTGTAGTACATCTGTAACACTTTCGAGAGAATGATAAAAAATAGGTAAGTATCATTGAAGACAGTGCGAAGCAAAGTTTATATGTTTATATGTATGCCGTTCATGGAACCAGAAAGAATACTTAATTAAAATGAATTGCAAGTTCAATTAAAGTTCGACTCATGTTCAACTTAAGGCCAACCCGAATCAATTTAAAATAAAACTTTTCCTCGATCGTTTATTAATCTTAAGTACATTCAGTATAAGTCCTCGAAAGTTTGGCAACGACCGAAAGTTTCTCCGGATGTTTATCGATCCGGTTGCTTTGATATCTGTGCTGAAAATCGATTGTCCTCGTCCGCAAACCGTACATCGAGATTGATTCGATCCTTCAAGCGACGAGCACGGCGAAATCAACTTCTTCGGTTTGTCGTGTTTTTGAGACAGGAAACGCGGTGCACCGTGACCGATGATTGAAATTCCGCTGCAGCCGACGACGATCGAGGAGATCGCGGAGTCATGGTTCCGAATTCTCGTTAACTGCTCGAGTGATTTCGAGATGTAGTCGTTCGCAATGATACACGTAACGGAGAGAGGAGGATTACGCCTTGTTAAAAGCGAACAGCATCGGCTGTACCCTTTTTGCTCGTTGCACCACGCCGAAGAGCCTCACCTTCACTCGCAAACTTCTCCTTTTTCCGAAGCTCCTGGGCGTGTCCCGATGAAAACAAACGCCATTCTGTTAACTGGATTACTGAGTACACTGGACTCAAGTTGATTGAGCTATTTAGATGAAGCACGCCTTCTGAGAACTCAAGTTGAATGGAATTTGAATTGAACTTGGATTGAACTTGAATTGAGCTGGAGTTGGACTTGAATTCAAATTAAATAAGTATTCACAATAAAATTTTCTTGTGACATTAGGAAAATTCCTTTCAATATCGGCCCTGAAAATTGTTTAACATCTTAGTGAACGGACTGGTGATTCATAAACAAACTCGATGCCTTCAAACCTACCAATCATACCAATAAACTGTCCAGTTGACAATCGATAGGAGAGACAGTGGATGGAGATTCTCTTCAGAAAAAGTGCATCATGGGTGACGAATGAACCAGGTTACAATTTTCCCTCGGTTTCCAAAAGGCAAGAAAGCTACCTGTTATTTCTCGAAATGGAGCCATCGGATAGAATGTGTCACTGTGTCGATCTCACGCGTAACGCTGGCACATGGTCGATCGAGGTTAACGCATCTCTAATGCGACAACGATGCATCCTCCACGCTGGCTTACCTACTTCGCGTTATCCCATAGCAAAGGCCCGCCACGAATGGAGCCGAACAGTGTTAACGCGCGTGCCACATTCGCGGCACGCGAAACGAATTCGCACGAGCGCCGCGAGAAACGGATTCCGCGGTGAACAATACTCGTTTATTGCGTCGCAAAACCGAATCGTTCGAGCGCGCTAGCGCGTGATACGAGGTGAATGGTTCGGAACACTCTCGACGCGATGCTGGTACGCGTGAAGGTATGCGCTCACTTCGATTTCGAAAGAAATTTTGGATTATGAAAATTCATAAGTAATTTTTGGTTGCTTGGACGTATGCTTAAAAGGGGTTTGAGACGTAATAAGCGTAGAACGTTGTTTTGTTATTAATATTTTAGATTTAGATCGAGAATAGGCATGACGACTCTTGTGGTCTAAGGGAATTAATTCAATATTAACAAAAAAATTCATGAATTGATCAAATTACAGGTCATTGATAAATGTAACCTGATTCGAACTTAAATCAAGCTTGAGTTTTTGAATCGAGTTTGAATTGTACTCGAATGGAACGTGAGGATTTTCTAGCAATCCTTCCGTCGCCTTTCGTTTATCAACTCGTCCAAAGTTACTTTCGGTCTTCAGCTGGTTCGTATCGCCACTTAACGAGTTTACACAGCGCGCGTGCGACGCAGGTTAACGAGCCCGCGGAAAAGTGTTTTCACTTACGTAATTTGACACCGCGTGAATAATCACAGGCGACGTTTTCCAGAGCGATAGAAGTGAGGCAATGGGTTAAGCAGCCAGAAAGCGCGCGATTCTCCCCGGGAGATGCTTTATCGATAAGGAGCCGTTTCTCGTTTCTCTATGTTATTAGATTCAGGTCACCGATCCGCAACAGGTGGCCGTGTCCCCGCGTTAGCTTCTGACCTAGCTCATTACCACGGCTCTGAAGCCACGAATTTATATGCTTGTCGTCTCACCTAGCTACTGGTCGATTTCGCTCCAGGGATTTTCCCAGCACGACGTTGGATACTAAATAGATGAACATTGGTGCTCCCTGTGACGTCGATTTAATATTGATTGGTCACTATTAACCAGAAGGAAGACCTTACAGTTTGTAACAGGCCTCGATTCTGTTTAACAAGGCTTTCTTATTTTATTTCTTTTTGAGTTGTACAGACAAGTATATGGTGCACCAAAGTCAAACTTTGTGAGGTCTAGTTGATTTTTAATGGAATTCCAATGTAATTAAAATTGGGTTCGAAATGAATTATGGTCGAGATTGAATTGAATTCAAATTTTACTGTAGACTTGAACTGAATTCGAATTGGATTTCAATTCGCATCTAACTGTATACCTTCAATGGCCGAGGACTCTAATTATCAGGTTACAGAAGCGTAGTAATTGTCTTCTTCTCGCAGCTTCACCTTGCGTGTGGTCCCAGATCTTCGGAGGCTACAATCCTGCATACTTCTAAGCAGTGAATCGAGGATGCTCGATCGGCCCAGTGGCACACAAAGCCGTCGAGGAAAAAGAGTTAGCCTTTTAGACCTTGTTCTCTACTTCCCAAGCGTATGAAAAGCGGGGGAGGTTGAGTTAATTTCTACTTGGGAAGGAGCTAGGCATCTCGGTTCGGCGACAGTGTTTCATATAATAAGCAGAGGCTTCAAGTCTCTGTCAACACTTTTCATTCGTCGACACTGACGGCTGTCACGAGTTTTTATCTAAACATTCACGTATGCGACCTATTTTCTCGAACGCAAACAAAAATCGTATACTTCGAGAACTTGTATTTTTGAAACTATTCTGAAATCTGAAAAGTGATGACTTAAACCCCCTCTAATCTCATATTAACTCTGTTATATTTCAATATCAACAAAATTAGCCGAAAAAAGTGATCGATTGGAGCCCTTTCAATCTGGAATAATTCATTAACGAAAATTCCAGGATTCAGTATGCTGAAACTCCGAAATAAATTTGAAATTTTCAAAACGATGATTTGAACTCCCTCCGAATTTCCATGGACCACAACATACTCCAACGTCGCAAAAATCTCTCTGCTCGCGTCCATTGAATGAACGATTCGTCTCGGGATGACCACGTTCCGTCGTATTTCAATTTCACTGGGGTCTCCGTAATTCAGCGCAAAAACCACCGACTTGACACGGAACGATCGTTAACTCCTTCCACCGTTACTCCCTTCCAACGACCTGGTGCGCAGCTTCCTAGTCCCTCTCAATTAGCCCAATTCCTTTTGATTTCAGTTGCAGCAGAGGTCTGGGTTTTCACACTGCACGCGGAACGCAATTACCAGCGACCGTGGACCATGATTCAACCGTGGTTGGACGCAACTTACTCGCTATCGTATTGTTTTTAAACGCGTAGTTGCGTCTCGAATCGGTCAAACACGCCGCGATACCGATTCCGCGGAGCAGTTGCATTCACGCTCTGTATGGCGTAACCGCTAATTGCTTCTGAACCTATAAAAATGGGCGATCGTTGGGGCGGCCAGTCCGCGTTGAACATGCTTCGACGTATGTTCGCTGTTCTGCCTCTGTGGGGTATTATAGCACTCTGCAGCGCGTCTGCCGTCCGTCGGAATGTCGATCTTGGGGTGGCGAGTACGATCGAT